AAGCTTGGCATGTTATGGTCCATGAGGTCGTGAAGAGTCAGACATGACTAACAACAAAAATATCAGTGGATCCATTATTAAAAGAAATTCTTTCCTAAAGATGTTCACTGGACAGCACCCAAACATTTGGGCTTTAAGGGTACATGCCAATATCTTAAATTGTGCCAGATAAGCAAGTGGAACTCTTACAGATATGTAATTCTTTTACTTTGCACTAGTTAGCAGTTTAGCGGCTATGTACCAATGCCAACTTTGATTAGTGAGGATGAAAGTGAAATTAACAAGGTATTGGAGAAAAGGGAATTCCAAAGTTAAGGGTTTTAATGAAAAATGGAAGTGAATAGCCCTATGGAGGATTAAAAAGAGGATGGAGAATTAAGAAACAACAAGACTGGAGCTGTGGAAGAAAGAAAATGAGTTGACTTTCTGGGAGGGTGAGATTTGAGAGGGGAATTTCTTTACAGAAATGTGAAGATATATTTGCTGGCACAGACAGAAACAAAACAGAGCAAGTTCACTGTCAGACAAAGATAAGTGAGGTCCATTCTTACCTCCTTTCCCCAATTGTTTTATACATATGTTGCTGTTTTTCTGCTTGTTAGTTGCCCAGAGTTATTTGACCAAAATTTACATAATAAAAAAGATAAATAATAGACAAAGTGAGAATTTTTAGAAATCTGGATTCGAACAAATGGGTACAAGAAGTCAAGATCATAGCATTAATCACTGAGAATCCCCAGTGACAGAAAACAGAATTGAACTACTCTGCAAATGGATTGCTTGCTTTATAAATTTAAGTAAATAATTTCTTTTTAATTTTTTGAATTAAATGCTAAGTACTGTTCTAGGTTACTACTGTACCTGCAGCAAAATAAGATCTAGAACGCTGTTAAAAGAAACAGCTGTGAGAGATAGTCCTTTGAAAGAAAGCACCTATTGTCACTGTAAATTGTTGAAAGAAATTAAAGAAAACCGCAAGTTTATCAATAACTACTAACTAACAGTGGGACGTAGAAAATAAGTATAATATGAAAATACTATATCTTAATTGTACTTACACCCTCGTATAATCATGTAAAGAAGCAGGGAGTACCTTAGCAAATACTAACATTAGTTACTGATTAGGCCAGCGATGGCTAACCCTTTTGTTGTCGCATGCCAAAAGTGCGTGCGCACGTGTGCCTGTACCCCTAATGCAATGTGCGCACGACTCTCCTGGGCTCCCCCTGCCCATGCGAAGCCCCGCAATCTCCCGCTCCGTGCATGTGCGCGTGACGCCCCTGCGCTCACCCATCCCTGCATGCGCCCCACCCCCCACACATGAGCGGGAGATACTAGAAAACCAGCTGATTGGTGGGAGGCACGTGTGCATGCGCAGTGGATCTGACCTGGGACGATGGCTCACGCGCCCGCAGAGATGGCTCTGCATGCCAGTTCCGGCACGTGTGCCCTAGGTTTGCTATCATGAGACTAGGAAATCCTATTGACATCAATTATCTGCATCAAGAGAGACTCTGCTGTCTTTTTCTAGGATGTGGACTAACAAACCTCCTGTTCCACCTTTGCCTTCAAAGTACCAATAACCACAGTTTTCACTTTTTTAAACACCCCAAAGCAGAAGCTTGAAACCTTCATAACTTCAGCAGCCACCATTCACTCAGCTTTCATAAATATGCATCTCCATCCAGTATTTCCTCATTTCCCTATCTCCTTATAGTAACTGTTTTGGGATAATCAGATAATTTTTAAAAGTTCTGGAATACGGGGCAGAAAATATACTCTTATCGTCTATATTTCATTAATATTTTCAAAAATAACAGAGAATACTTCCTGACCTCACATTCTATTTTGATCATAGTATATATGTGATTTCTAATATAAATGGGACAGTCCATGACTGGTCCATTGTCCCATATGTTTGTGTATCCACAGCACAGTATAACAACAGAGTTGACTCAATAAAAGTAAAACAAAATCTGGCTCATTTTTGTTTTCTTTTCAACTGATGATGACACCAAATATTCTCTCACCGTTTGTACAACTGCTTGCTATTAATATTTGGTAAGTTTGAGCATTCCAAAGCATGAGAAATACTTTAGCTCGCCAGGATCAAAAACAAACAGCCAGCATTTCCCATCTCCCTACATATCCAGAGAGGCGGAAAGCAGACCGAAAAAGCATCTTATTCGTAAGTTTTAAGTTCACCACGGGGGAATTCTCCTTCCACCCGAGAGTGGGATGTTTATTGGAGTAAAGAAGGAGAAGGTTGCAAACAGAGCTGTTAATACTTCCCATAGAACGGTGGTCGCCAACCAGTGGGCTGTGGAAATTTTTTGGTGGTCCACCGAATGGGCCCCTGAAAGCAATTCATCTGGGCAGCGCGGGAAAACAAGGCTGCTCTGCCCACATGGCCTGCCCACCCACTAACCCCCCCACCCTTTGGCTGAGCGCAAAACTTACCTTGATTGAGACTGAGCAGTGGAGAGCCACGCGGGGGAGGCGGGGGGGGGGACTGGATTCTGGAAGGTAAGACCAACGGTGGAGGAGGGAAATCCGCCCCGGGATGGCTTGCTGAGGGTGGGAAAGTTGGTCCCATGTTCCAGAGCTGTAGTAGTCACAGGACTGGCCCTTTGGTCATCCTGGAGCAGCTCCTCCTGAATTGCTACAGCTCTGGAATATGGGACCGGCCCGTGGTGGCTGGAATGTCCTGCCACGTCCGTAGGGCAGAGAGAAGCAGCCGGAGTCAAATCAGCCCCCTGCAAACTGTTGTCTCTCTCACTGAAGTGGTGTGAGAAACTTCGGCCGGGCTCTCGAGAGATGAGAGTGACTCCGGCTGCTTCTCCGGTCCCTCTTGAGCGCTCGCTGACGGGAGGGGGAACCTCTCTCGTCCCTCCGTGGGCTCTGCAAGACGGGCAGCGGAGAACGCTTGGAAGGGATGAGGGTGCAGCCCTCGGGAGGGGAGGAAACGGCACCCAGCTCCCCTCTCACGGCAGGAGAGCCAAGGAGCAGCAGAAGCGGTGGATGGAGGCCATCGGAAAGCATTTCTCCTCTCGGGGAGGGGGAGAAAATGGGGGCGACTTCCAGATCACGGGGAAGGATTGAGAGAGCTCAGATCTGCAGCTGAGGAAAAGCTGCGAGGGCCCTTCCAGCCTCGCCTGGAGGCAGGCAAGGAAAGGGGGAAAAGCTCTTCACAGCTTCTCCTCAGCTGCAGATCTGAGCTCTCTCAATGCTCTGCCCCCCCCATCTGAAAAGAGCCCCCACTTTCTCCCCCTCTCTTCCGCCCAATTAATCACAGAGGGCAGCAGTCCTTCTTCAGGCAGCTGCCTGCGGAGAAGGCCCTGGAGGGGCAGCCAAGGGGTGCTCCCCCCCAAGGAGAGCAAAGCCCCCCTTCTGCCTCTGCTTCTCCCAGAGGCAGTTGCCCCAAGGCCCCTCAGCTCAGACACACACACACACACACACACAGAGCTCTTCCGTCTCTTTGAAAGGTGCAGGTGGGGGGAGGCTTCCAGGCCTGCCCTCCTTGGCCCCCTCAATTCCAGGCAGCCACACCTGGCAAAGAAGGGAGAGGTTTCCTCTGACTTGGGGAAGATATGAAATGACTGGAGACCAGATTTTTTTTTTGGGGGGGGGGGGGGGGGGAACGGGGCTCTGCTTTTCTTCCAAAAATCCATAAACTTATTTCCAACAAGCAGGAACAAATACCACACTAAAATGTGTAATATTTAAATGTTTCAATATTTTATAATAATTGCACTAACTTTAATAATTTTGTTACAATGAAACATTTTATTTTGTTATGATCAAGCATTTATGATTTTTTAATTTTATATATATATATATAAATATATATATAATTTTTTATATATATATATTCATTCATTCTTTTCGTGGGTGCTTACATGTATGGTATTCAGCTTTGTTCGGATATTTTCCCACGTCATTGTAGTTGTGCTTTTAAAGTTGTAGCAACGTTTCGGCAGAATCTCATCTGCCATCATCAGGCTTCTGTATACAGGCTTCTGCTTGCACTGGTACGACGCTGAAAGCACCAGGCTGAGGATGGCGAGTTGTACCTCGCCGAAACATCGCCAAGATACTCTTAATCTTACATGGGAAAAGACCCGAACACACCTAGACCTACATACCTGTACCCGTGAAAATCTATGAAAACAAATTATATATATTTATATTTATATTTAGTGATAGATAGATAGATAGATAGATAGGTAGATATTTTCTTAAGTTTTCGCAGGTACTTACATGTATGGTATTCAGCTTTGTTCGGGTATTTTCCCACATCATTATAGTTGTGCTTTTAAAGTTCTAGCAATAAAGTTCTAGAATCTCATCTGCCATCCTCAGGCTTCTGTATTGTGTTTGTCTGTGAATCAGAAACGGCTGTGAAAGTCTGACTCACAGACGGACACAATACAGAAGCCTGAGGATGGCAGATGAGATTCTGCCGAAACGTTGCTACAACTTTAAAAGCACAACTATAATGACGTGGGAAAATACCCGAACAAAGCTGAATACCAGATAGATAGATAGATAGATAGATAGATAGATAGATAGATAGATAGATGGAGATAGATGAATAGATGAATAGATGGAGATAGATAGATAGATAGATAGATAGATAGATAGATAGATAGATAGATAGATAGATAGACAGACAGACAAACAGACAGACATACTCTTTTTTAAAATAATTCATATTAATGGTCCTTTGGATTTAAAAGTATGGGTCTGGTGGTCCCTGAGGCCCGAAAGGCCGCCCTAGAAGACATCAATCCCTGCCCCATTGCTATGGGGGTGGCAGTCGCCGGCTCCCGTGTCCTGATCCCCCTTTCCTGAGACTCGGGCCGTGTTCTCCCCAACGCCGCCGCCGCCGCCCATCCGTCCGTCCCGGCTCCTTGTTTTTTTGCCCGGGGAAGCGGCTGTCAGGCCAGGCCTCTCCCTCTCTCTCGCCCGCCCACCCGCCCGCCCGCTCGGCCACTCACCGGGTGGAGGTGCCCTTCCTCACATCGCACATCATGCACTTGAAGGCCTCGGCGCTGTTCCGGAAGGTGCAGACGCTGCAGTCCCAGTAGCCCTCGTCGGAGGACGGCTTCGGTTGCCGCTTCGGCCTACTCGGGAACCAGCCGGGGGAGAGGGGAGGGGAGCGGGAGGGGGAGGACGAGGAAAAAACGGGAGGGAATTTAAGACACAAAACCAGGCATCGCCGCGGCCCGTCCTGTCCCTCCCTCCCTCCCTCCCTGCTCCCTCCCCCCCCACAGGGCCTCGCTTCTCCTCGGCCGCCGCCGCCGCTTCCCACCACGTCTCTTCCTCCTCCTCCTCCTCCTCCTCACCGCCATCGCTCCTGCTACGTTGGGGGGCGCCAAAGGCTTTCGCGGAGGAGGAGGAAGGGGAAGAAGCGGGGGAGGGTCGGTGAAAAGAAGCGGCCCCGCCGCCTCCTGACCGGCCTCCCCGCGGAGGCTCCCTTCGCCTGCCTGCCTGCCGTCTACGCCGTTTCCCACCCCCGCCCCCCCCCGCTCGCCTTCCCGCTCTCTCCTCCTCCTCCTCCTCCTCCTCACCTTGTGGGGCTCTTCTTGTCTCCCATACCGGCTACGGACGCGTCTCCAGACCGGCGCGGCCCTTTGTGTGTGTGTGTGTGTGTGTTTGTCAATAGGAGGAGCGAGGGCTGACACTCCGGCGAAGCGGCAGGAGGAGGAGGAGGAGCCGCCGCTGCAGCCGCCGTTGCTGGCCGAGGCGAAGGGCTGCACCGCTTGGCTGCTGCTGCTGCTGCTGCTGGCGCTGCTGGCTCCCTCTAAGCGCGGCCTCCGACACGCGTCCAGATGTCGGGGAAACTCCCGCCGCCGCCGCCGCCGCCTCCGCCCGCCCGCTCAGCCCGACCTTGCGCTCCCCCTTTTCTCCTCGCTCACGTGCTCCTCCCGTCGCCAACCAGCGCCGGCCCACAGCCAGGCCGAGGCGTCCCAGACGGCGGCCGGAGCACAGCGGAGCCTCTTTCGCCTTCTTCCGACGGGGGGGGGGTCTGAGAAGTCGCCCCCCTTTTTTTTTTCCAGGGCCCGAACTGCCGCCCGCCCGGTTCCCCCTTTGGCGCAAAGAGGCGCTTCGCCTTGGCCGGGGATGGGTCTCTCACCCCCCGACACCCACCCACTCACCCCCGTTATCCCTTTCCTAGGCCTTTTAAGCGAACGGCTGCCCTCATGATCCCGACTTAACCCCCAAATCAGGCCGTCGGATGCCGTATTAAACCCCGTCCCGCCTTTATGATCGGTAAGGAGCGCAACGTTGTTGATGTAATTGGGTCCCCCCCGCCGGGATGCCCGAAATGATCTCCCTCCAAGGCGCGTTTTCGGGCATCCCCTGCTCTGGTCAACGGCTGTCAGATCTCGGCTAAGTTGACAAGGGTCAGCTTGCACGGAATGATTTCGGACTGCAAACAACTGAATGGGATTGTGGTGAAGTATCTGCCTTAAACAATTGTAATCATGTAAGCAAGGGGAGTCCGTCCCATCCCTTTCCATATTTCTTTTAAAAGGTAGAATGTAATATGGGTGGAGGTGCCATTCTTGTTTAGACTTATTGCCGAAAATGGTTATTGTGGTGGCATCAGTGGCATCCTTTCAATTTTGAATAGCTGCATTATTTTAATATTTTCCTGGATCAATTGAGGATTCTTCCACGTTTGCCATTAACTATGGCAGGAACACAGTTCATGGTGTGTGCCTTTTTTTTTTTTTTTTAACCTCATGACATCTTTGTCTCACCCACAGGCCTACGGCAGTTTTAAATCAAGCCTTTAATCTGTACCAATATTTTCCCTCTTCAGTTGTGTTATGGATAGGATCTGTCATGCTTCACCAATCTTTTAATTACAGATGCAGCCAGGGATTAGCTGCATTTCTATTGATCACTTTAGGCTGTTGCAAACATCGCCCCCGCCTCCGCTTCAGTCACTGACCATGGCCATTTTGGCTTGAACTACAGGAATGACCAGACACCTGTTTTTTACAGAAGCATCCGTGTGTGTATATATATAAATGCCTGACCAATGTACCCAGGGGAGGATAACAATGGTAACAGATGGATACAATATGTTGGCAGATGAGGGCAAGTTTTTGTGGGGAGGAACAGAGAGGATTAATTTTGGACACAATATTTATTTCGGGTCCCATATCTCCTATTTTGAGCTAAGCATTCTGGTAGCTGGGTGCTTTGGGCTCAGACCGACATTTTGATTGCCAATGTTTATAATAAAATAATTGTGGACTAATTAATTACATTATGGACCAGGGAATGTTGATATGTATCACCAAAACCTGACTGGACCACAAATACAATGTATCTCAGTATGATCTGCCTGGCTGAGTCACAACCTGAAAGCAGTGAGGTTGAAGGCAATTGTGCATTGTGAGACCTCGTTTGTTGTGAGAAATATTGTTTCACGGGTCACCAGGTGCAAAACTATTTGTGAAGTTAGGCCTAATTGACAGATTGAGCATGCAACTATTGTACTTTTCTCCTACTGATAATAGCAATATCCCTTTCTGAACTACAGCACTTGAATTCAGAGAGGGCGAGGATGGATTTGACTAGATTGTTAGTTCTGATTAACTTTAGCCTTTGTTTGAAGTCAGAAGTAGCTTGAGAATACATGATCATATAACTGTGGGTTGTTTTAAACTATTATGACCCACTCTGACTTCCACCTAGTCTTGGGGAACATTTTCATTATGTCCTGGTGATGGATAGATGCATCCTTACATTTGGTGCCTGATAGATCCAAAGACTTTTCCAATTTATAGAACCAATGGGATTGATCTGAAGTGTCAACTGATGGAAACGAAAATGAATATACCAAACAAGGGTACAAACTTAAATTTGAGCCTATTATCGCAATTAGGGCAATGATGTATGTCTCTGTAAATCAGATAGCTGCCTTATTAAAAGTTATCTCGAGCCTTTTTAGGGAAGGATTAAGAAGAGACAATTGGTGGTAAGGAAATTGGATTCAGGTGATAATCAACACCTATCTGAGGGAAAGAGAAGTGGCTTTGAAAGAGGCACTGGTCTGCTCTCTGCTCAAGAAACTAACTCTGGATCCTCTTCTGCCTAACTACTACTAACTCCTAGCTTTCACTTTCCAGAAGCCGTATCCAGGGGAACGTTTGGCCAGCTTTGGGGGGTGCATCAATTGGAGGTTTATCTCAAACAGGAAGTGATGGAGATGGCCACTCATATCCTTGTCACTCTGTTACTAGATTATTATAGTTATAAATGGGGCTGCCTTTGAGCTGGTCCAAAATGCAATAGGCCCTATGCTTACTGGGCAATCTTGATACTGCTGTATTGAAAAACGCTGTTTCTGAGTACAATTTAAGTTGCTTGTTGTTACTTGCCAAGTCTTATACAGCTTGGGGCCTTGGTATCTCTTAAACTGACTTTCCCAGATATATTCTTCTTGCTCAAATCAGATGAAAAGAGAACACTTGCTGAAGGTCTTCCATACTGTGGGGTGCAGTAAGAAGGGTCATGATATGGCCATCCTATGTGGAAGGTGCCCTGCTTTGAACCGTTCCCATCCCCAAGATCCTACTCGTATGGCTTCCTTAATGGCTACCTAGTAGGGCTGGATCTATGTCAGCTCCCACCGATTAAAGTAGGGCAGGAATCATAGGAAAGCCAAAACTACTTTTATTGAGTTGTTAGAATAACAGAATCTGATTGTCCTCCCCTTCTTTACCCTTGTAAATTAGGAGGTATCTATCTTCCCCATATATTCTGCTTATTGTGGACTTACAGTATGATTTCTGCCTTAACGTGTTTTTTTGTTCTTTAGATCTTTTGCTCGAGCTTTATTATTTTTATATGGTAAATAAATCAAAATGGAATACCTAATATTCCTTTCTCTTCCTATTTCCCCCACAACAACAACCGGTTGGGCTGAAAGACCAAATAACTGGTTCAAAGTCACCCATCTGCTTTCATGCCCAAGGCAGGACTAAAACTCACTAACCCACAATCTCTTGGTTTCTAGCCTGGTGCCTTAATCTTTATACTAAACTGATTCTGGTCTTGGTCAAGTTCATTTTCCTTACTGTTGCAAATTCACATTTTTAATGCTTTTGTCTTTGCTTTTTTTGTCTTTTGTATTTTAGCCTTTGGAATAAAATTATATGAAAAAAATTTGTCTTCCTTATTCTTCATACTTTGGAATTTAATTATATTCAGCCATTGCTTCTGAATAGTTATTTTTATAGTCTATTAGGTGCATTATTATACTAGTCTATGTTATTGTTATATTTATCCTTTATGTACTATCTGCAACAATACTATACTATACAACAAAATTGAAGAGCGTCTAGGTAACACATAATTTGGTTTCAGAAACAATCTTGGTACATGAGGTGCCCTATTCAGTATTCAAGTTCTTGCACAGCGTTGTAGAGATGTCAATCATAGTGTTTACAGCAAACGATTACAAATCCTGAAACAAGTAGGATTACATAACAGGCATCCAAATTATAAAGAATCTATATTGGCATCAGGTAGCAAATGTGAAACTAGGTCAAAAATACTCCGATGAGGCAGAAATATGAAGAGGGGTGAGACAAGGGCTATATTCCGCTATTATTTAATATCTACTCTGAATTGATTTTCAATGAAGCACTGGAAAACATCCATGTTGGCCTCAAAATAAACAGTGTTTGGTTCAACAATATAAGATATGCTGATGATACAGTTCTGCTTGCCAGTAAGCATGAAGACCTTCAGTTCCTCATCAACAGAGTCACAGAAGCATTTGAAAAATACGGCTTGAAGCTTCACACCTCGAACACCAAATTCGTGGTCATCAGCAAACAACCCATTAATTTACCACCGGAAGAAAAAGTTGAAAGGATATCTTGGTTCTAATTTATATGAAAGCTGGAACGTGACCATGGAAGCAAAAGCAAGGATAGAGAAAACTCAAACAGCATTCTTCAAAATGAAAACGGTTGTTTGCAGTCACGACATAAGCCTAAGATTGAACATAGTCAGATGTTACATCTTTTCTGTCCTGCTCTGTGGAGTAGAGTTGGTCTCTGACAGAAAACCACTTGAAAAGACTAGAAGCATTTGAAATGTGGATTTTCAGACAGCTATTACATATAAGCTGGGTTGACAAAATCAGAAATGAGGTGGTGATAAGCTAAATAAGCCCAAGAAAGCCAACGGAAATAATCAAAACAATAAAAAAGTGAAAGTTAGAATATTTTGGACATGTGATATGACATCCGGGAAAATATGGCATACTTCACTTAATCCTCCAGGGAAAGACTGAATGCAAATGAGGTCAACCAAGCAGATCTTTTGAAACTTTTTTAACTGAACGTAAGAGATTTTTTATTCCAATTTTTAATTATTCAAATCTGGCAAGATAAAGTCACAGTGAGAAAATGTATATCCTGCTGTTATAGTCTAAACACGGTAGAATCAGCAAGATGACATTTTTAATGTAAAATTATGATGTTCGTTTATTAAGATAGTGCTCAAAGTCATAATTAAATTTTCTGGCCACATTTCCAATATTTCCTTCTTTATCCTGAAATATGTATAAAATTTTGCACTTTCAATTTTCAGAAAGTATTTACTTTTGTAGAGCAGCGACAAAAACAAAATATCTAAA